TTATTTTGGAAACTTTTCGCTTCGTGGCCAGCGTTTGATAAGGTCCTATGTGTGTAAAAGTTGTTTCTTTTCCATTTCATTATTCAAGTCAGGTTTATTATTACGAACTCCCCCTGCTTTGTTCATTCTCTTAAAACTGCATTCATTTTCATTAATTTCTTGCTCTCCCTCCTTCTTTCTTGAAAGTTGTTTGGTTTTGCCAGCCTCATGTATTTCCTTATCCCACAGTGCCTTAGAAGTAATGCCCATTCAATGGTGGCTGTGAGACATAGGGCCTTTGCAGACTGCCAGAAATAGTGCACATTAATTTGAGGCACTGCCCTGGCTCAGTGCTAGGGAGTCATGGGAACTGTATTTTTTTCTGAGACATTGAGCCTTCTCTGTCAGAGAGCTCTGGTGCCACAATAAATTACCGTTCCCATGATTCCCTAGCACTGAGCCAGGGCAGTGCCTCAATTTAATGTGCACTATTTCTGGCAGTCTGCAAAGGCCCATAGCCACCACAAAAGGTAAGGGAGAGATATGTAAGAAATGGAATGGATAATGGCCATCAGCCCAAGTCCACAAGTAAATGGAACTAAAAGTATGATTTATGAAACAATCACCACCTCATGGATTGCTTGCTACCTAGTCCACCAGAAGTCCATGATGGTGAACAAAGATGTACCTACAGGCTGCTTTGGATGATGGTGGCTGAGGACTGCCACTGCTCCCTTCCTTCTTTCTCTGACACCATACATGACTTCTCAGAATATTATATCCATGCTCTTCTTGACTTTCATTGCATGTGTAAAGTCTCCAGGTCTAACTGCTGGATACATATGATATACCTACACACTGAATACTTGCAAGTTTTTTTATCTCCATGACTCATCCCAGTTCTTAACAATTGCTTACATATATATAAGCTGTAATTGTTGGAATATGGATGGGATATGCAGTGGAAATGTAAAGATGTGTGAAAAATCTCTTCTGAGAAAAGTGTTTAAGGGCCTTTGCAGACTGCCAGAAATAGTGCACATTAAATTGAGGCACTGCCCTGGCTTAGTGCTAGGGAGTCATGGGAATTGTATTTTTTTCTGAGACATTGAGCCTTCTCTGTCAGAGAGCTCTGGTGCCACAATAAATTACAGTTCCCATGATTCCCTAGCACTGAGCCTGCAGGTGGTTTGCAACCAAAACAATTTCACACTGAAAAGAATAACAAGGACGTTGAGCCTGGGAAAACAAGATGCTAGAAGGTAAACATATGATCTCATCTGGTTTGCATGGGAACCAGGTCACATGGGGAGTGATACACAGCTAGGAGCTGATCTAGAAGCTGGGATAAAGCTGATCTTCTTATCATTATGAAGGTTGCCACCCAGGAGGTGGAGTTATGGGTTGGGCCAAGAGCTCCTTTGTTCTCTTTGTTAGAACTTGCCTTGCTTTCAACTTAACAACAAGTTATGATCCTATTGGTTCTATCACCTGCAAGATGGATTGTACATAGTTCTTTTCTGTTTTTACTATGGCACAATAAAGCTTTACTTTGGATTTACATTTGTGTCTTCATGAGAAGCTGCTGGAGGAATGCAGAGAACAGCATTTCCAGGATGGTTGATGAAAGGAAGCAGCCTTCTGATCTCTGCTACATCTACATTTACATCACACATGTAATTTAAAATAATAAAAAATAAATAAAGTAGGCCATGATGAGGGTGTAATCTGCATTGCAGAAATAATCCAGTTTTACACTATTTTAACTGCCATGGTTTATTGTTATGGAATTCTGGGATTTGTAGTTTTGTGAGATATTTAGCCTTTTCTGTCAGTTTTGGGGCTACAACAAACTAAAATTCCCAGGATTCCACAGGATAAAGCCATGACAGCTAAAGTGGTGCATTATTATAAAATACATTATTTCTGCAGTACAGATTAGACTGAAGTATTACTATGGCTATCCATTGAAAGGAAAAGTAGAGCCTTCTTCAGTCAAACAAGCCTAGCTGAAATTTCTCCCACTGGTTAATGGACTGAAACACTAAAACTGAATCAGTCACTAAAAGCTACCAATTAAATCAATTATTTACAGCCCAAGTTGTTCTTGTGCCAATTAGTCTACAAACTATTCCAAACTCAGACATTTCCTAGGAATTTTAACAAGATCATATTAGATATAGCAGTCTTGATATTGTTACAATTCTTGTTTCCAAATCCGATGAGCACACTGCTGCATATGAAGAGCTTATGAACTCACTTTAATTATGGATGTTGTGCATATGGAACTACTGTAGTGAATGAAGAAAACCCAACACAACATAGGTAGCATCCCAACTATGAGTCACATGTGGAACCTTCCTTTTTTGGGGGGCCCTCCTGCAAAATGCGGCACCAAACTCCACAAATTGGGCAATGCACCAGTGGCAAAAAGCAATAAATTTTCCCTTTAAAGAAAGCATATAAGGCACAGGTTACTTATTTAGAAGATGAATTACACTTCCAGAAAACTCCCAGTACTAGGATTCTTCCTTAAAACATAGTGTGCACTCCCCACAAACATGGGGGGGGTGCAGACGGCCAGCCCTGGGCTGCCCCGGGAAGCAGAGGATCAGGGCCACTGCTAGCACACACAGCAGCCCCAATGCTCCCATTTGCCAACTCTTAAAAGAGCGGCAAAATGCTGCTCCTATTAGAGGCAGCAAAAGGCCGCCCCAAGAGCCACCACACAGCTCTTTTTTGCCTCTTCCGGTGTAGCGTGGGAGGACGCTATGCCGGGAAGATGTCCTGATGCCACGCACCATGCGTAAGGGTATGTGGCATAAGGATGTCTTCAGGGAGGGGTTGGGGCAGCTGGTGTGCAGCTGCCCCTCCCCTTCCCTGCCTCCAACATGCTGCAATGGGCCCATCTGCAGAGGCCCATGGTCTTGAAAGGAAAATTGTTGTTGTTGTTGCTGTTGCTGCTTCTGCTTCTGCTGCTGCACCAAATCCAGCAGTTAGAGTTTGTGATGCTCAGCAATTCCCTGGAAAAGGGGTAATTCAGCTCCCATCCACCTCTGAAGGTTGATTGGGAAAAATAAGGAAACCCCATGCATTTCCCCCTCCACAAATATCCATTCATATATTAATTATGCATTTTTATGATGAAATTAATGTCTTTCTTCATTGGGATGGTTGTCAGATATGTTTTCTTAGCTGGGCAGAGTTTATCTACATGGGCAACTGGTGACCATCCTCACACATCATGTGGCTTATCAACTGTGTTAATTATGTGCAATTTTAGTCTCAGTCTCAATGACCCTGGCAAACTTTGGGAAGAGTCTACATAAAATGTCACTGCCATCTCAGTGATTAATCTCAGTGATTAAGCTCTACTGATAACAATGGAAACTCGGTATGCTTAACTTTTCCTAGATTGTGCCTTCTTTGTTTCTATACCATATATTTCTGTAA